TTGATTAAGTTTAGTGTTGAACCACAACGTTTGTGGCTTGGCACACAAGAGACTAGGGTATAGGATGTCGTAGGCTTGGTATTAGAGATAAAAATAGGATAGAAGCAGTGAAAACTAGAGCTATTTGGCTAACAATAATCGTAATTCAAAGATCACGTCTATGATCAAACACGTATATTGTTAGCCAAATAATTTTAGTCTCTACCGCGTCTTTCCTATTTCTATCTGTAATACCATGTCTATCAGTTTCTACGTGCTAGTCTCTTGTGTGTCAACCCAGAATTGTCGTGGTTCTACTTGTTTTAATTGGGCTCACTGGATACATCTCCACCTTGCGTCTGATTGTTCCTTTCTTATCCCGCAGAGATTTTTTTTCTTAAAATTAAGGATGTTACCTTGATCCAGTCGTCTTCTTTTTGCTGATCTTGCTGTTGCCTGGTCTTCTCCCAGTTTGTTTAGGCAATATGCAAAGTTTTCGCTGTTCCTGCTTTCTTTAAGTCTCCTGTTCATTAGATTTCTCTCGGTCAGTATATCGATGGCCTCTCGGATCTTGCGTCTTCTCGTATTTTCACCAAAGCAAGCAGTACCACAAAGTTTGTGGTATGGGAAGTCATAGACTTGGTATTAGGGATAGAGACAGGATAAACATGACTGAGACTGGAGCTAGTTAGCTTCGAGTAGGTCTGTTTTTACGATATACGTGGTCCATGTAGCAAAGGCGTGACCATGAGACTTACTTAGAGGCTTTAGCCTCGAATTAATCACCCAGTCGCAGGTGAGGGAGAATAACGCCTCGAGCAGCACAGATTGGGTGGCAGGGATCGAGTGAAATATGTGAACCAGGGAGAGAGTAGATGGATCTTACGTGGCAAGTGAGAGACTGTGATAAGACAATGTGAATAGCCCATGGCATAAGGGGAGATACCATAACTGTTTAGCACACGTTTGTTCAAAGGATCGGCTTCACTTGTTTCTTTGACGAGTTGTTGTGTGGTGCTAGGAATAGCGAGACTCACTGACAATGCTGACGAAACGTCTGGGAATGTACCATGTCCACGGTCTGACTTTGGAAATGATCATGCATACAATGTACTCCGGACTAGGTGCCTTTTTCTATTTCTTCCTACCAATATGACCAAGTTGCAAAAACAAGGTCAAACAACCTCTATTCTCTAATCTAGTTTCACTGTATTTTCGACCTAGCTTAAGCTTTTTAAGCTCATCCTTTACTGTACTTTACTACTTAAATTAAATCTGTGTTATTTTTGAGTCAAATTCTAACTATCAT